ACAACGGAGACGAGCTTGGGATCGGCCCAGGCGAAATAGCGACCACAGGGTGAGTACTCACAACACCGGTTGTTCCCTTCGGGGTTGGTGAACCCAGCGAGCGGCGCATAGACGGGCGCGGCATCGGTGACACCAATGTGCTTCTGGGTTCGGTAGGCAAACTGCAAAGGGGACGCCATGACTAGTGAAAGTACAGCGCAAGTCGATTGCAGAAAGTCGAGAGGTTGCAGCGGGAGAGAACGTTCTTTTGAAGGGAGGGGGAGGAATCGGTTGGATTTTTCTTGGTGGTCTTCTTGTTTCTTTCTCAAAGATGGCTTTGTGGGGTGGCTGAAGTTTGGTTTGCGCGTGGACTTCTGATAATTCGACACAAAGAGCTGATCTTTCGGTTCGAGGTGTGTTGGCTTTTGGTTTGGGGTCGTCGTCGTCTTCTGACTGGTGGTTCTGACCGAGCAATGGGGCTGGGGGGGGGGGGGGTATCCTAGCTGCGTCCAAGAATGGATGCGGGAGCCAAGTTTGTCTCGTCGGTGAACCTGAAGCAACAACAAGAAGCTTGCCTGTGCTGGAGAGCCTGATGACTCCGGTGAAGGCGTGGGAAGAAGATGACGTGTCTGGCGGTGGGCAAGCGAGGGCGATAGCGATGGCGATGAAGTATCGATCGATCGGCCGGCTGCTGGATGAGGCGGGAGTCGGCGGAGGAGAGAGTCTGGATGGTGGGAAGAAGAAAAAAAATCCGTAGAACGTCTGGGGCGGGAGAGAAAGAAGATGGGAGACACCCAAAGGGGGAGAGGGGGAGGGGAGAGGGGAAAGGTTGGCGCGAACCGGTGTGTGGTGATGTGGGCTGCTGGAGGAGGAGTGGAAGGGAAAGAAGGGGAACGCGGCGAAGGCGGGTTTGGGATTTTTGTGATAGAGGATTTTTCCCTGCCGTCCGTCGGTCGCCCGTCGCTGGTTGCTGGACGCTGGTCTGACAGGCAGGTACACTGGCGGCACACTTTGGCCAGGTAGGTACCTGCCTGCCTCCCTTCAGGTGCCAAGTAAGGCGTCGAGGCAGGTAGCGCCGGAGCACAGAGGTACCCTGGCGGCTGATGGCAGCTGGCCGATCGCCCCGCCGCGATCTCCTAGGGGCCTTGGGGGCCTGCCACTGGACTGCCGGCGGACGGCGGGCGGAGGAAAAGAGGCTTAGGCTCGGCAGGCCCCTGGAGCCCTGTCCTCAGCCGCCAATCAGGACAGGGATTCGCGGGTACGACCCCTCCCACTGCGCTGCTGTGGCAGGCAGTGGATGACAGTGGGCGGGCAATGCTGCCCAAGCGTGGCTCCTATCGTTTGGCGGGGTCAATGTGGCTACCTGTGTGCCTTATTGTTATGGATGGATGCTGCGTACCTATGCCTACCTACCTACGGAACTAGGCATTGGACGGTGATTGTACGGTTTGCCCGGCATCCAATGGGGAGCTCATGATGACTGGGAGAATGAGAGTCGAATACGAACTGAAGGTATCCATCAGGGACTTTTCGCAATACACACTGGTGACTCGTGCTCATGTGATCAAGGCCTGCTCCGGCAGAGATGAGGTAGACATGTGAATTTCCCCGCCAAGCGTCGCAACCCGCAAGGTGCACACGACTGGTTTCATTTCTGAGATTGCTCTGGCTGTGCCACGTGCAAGCGGTGGCGCTCGCTCATCATTATCTTCGTTCGTGACACGAGAGATGATGTCTTACCACCAATGGCATACAACCCAGATGTTGGGCCTTTGTGTCGACAGACTTTTGTGCTCTAGCTAGCTTTGCCGAGTTACATCCCAAGGTTTAGTCCTGTTGCTGGGTAGTCCTGTTGCTGGGTAGTCCTGTTGCTGGGTAGAGGCGACAAGCGAAGGATGCGACAGACGTAAGATCGCCAAGCTTTTTCCAAGGGACCTGCGGCGTATCATCT